TATTTGCTTGAATAATTGATTGAACGATTCAATCAATTTTCTACGCTTGAAGAAAAAACATTGTTCCTAACTTATGCGGAAAGTTTCTTTCCCGCACTCGACTGCTTGCCCGAACTCCGCTTCGCGTCGTTCGTGCCAACGGCAGTCACGTGCGGGAAAGAATCACTTTCCGCACTTGTTAGGAAAATTACTATTTCAGCTGTTCCATGACAACACGATTTTGGAATTTCTCTGTAGAATTACGATAGGTGTAGGTATACGATGGTTTGTTCTTTCCTCGGAATGCAAATGTAATCTTTCAGCGGGATTACGAAAAGTCTTGAAAGACTCACGGCCGATTCGAAAATAACGGATTCGGTTGTTATAATCCTCGGCCTCATTCGTTATTTGCAATATCTACATATATATTATATAGGCCTTGTGAGATTGATAATATAACTATTGTAATAAGTAAAGTACATGCGGTGTGTAAGCGCCATTTTCTGTTTTCTATGAATGAAATCTGTAAAGTTTTGCCATCTTGCGGACAACTGAGAACTAATATCCCATTATTGCGGAATCTGCCGTCAAGCGTTTTAGGAGAAACAAAACACTGTCTGTGATTACACCATATTCTATCTACCTTGATCAAATCACACATTAACAAACCTGTCAAACCAAACCATGTCTCATATTTTTATTCCAACAGCATACAGATCTGCGACTTCATTTCTATAAACGGTGGTTCCTTTATAAAGTTTCAATCCGTAGTAACCGCCGTAATCCGTGTCGCTCTTAGATCATGTATGATCTAAGGTGTCGCTCGCTAGTCACAACAATTGGTGACGTCACAGTGGCACTTTCTTCGATGAAATGAAAATTACAAGGTTGGTAGAACTGATTATAATTTATACAAAATAGTCATCAGCTCTACCAACCTTGGAAAATTATACATGTAGTGACATCTACCATGTGTGATTCGAACTGAGATGTTTATAAGATTTTATAAGTTAGTATATAATATGGTGATGTATGAACGGATGGTGTTTGCAAAAAGATGCGGTTTTGTTGGCCCTAAACAGTTGAAAATCACAATATAAGGTTCTTGTTGCATCTTATTCTAATAGATGTCACTGTACGAATTCTCTTTGAATTTGAAAAAGGAACTCAATTATCAGGATATTTTATTTGAACACTATCAAAACTGAACGTACTTACATAATTTCTGTATTTTTTTCGTCGTGATTGTTGTTATTTGTTCCGATTGTCATTGTAAATACGATATCAGCGCCTCTTACGGATTTTCTATGCCTTGCGTAAAAACACCATCATCTCCCATAACTGCCAATCATAATAGATGATAGCGATCTTTGACCTGTGTATTTTTGAGGTTAATCAGGTTAATTCACTTAGGCCTGTTCATTTGGGAGCATCCCGCGATGCCCAATTCCCACGATGCCCAAATCCCACGATGCCCAATTCCCACGATGCCCAATTCTCACGTTGCCCAATTAATACGATGCCCACCTTCAAAGATAGCCGAAGAGCGCAACGTTGCCAAGTCAACAGAAACATTCAGAAAACACAAGATTTCCACCATTCCCACTTTTCATAGAATCCCACGATGCCCGATTCATACGATGTCCAATTCCCACCATGCCCACCTTTATTGGATTCCCACCATGCCCATTTTTCATACATTCCCACGATGCCCAATTCCTACGATGCCCGATTCCCACCATGCCCACCTTCCTTGAATTTCCCCCATGCCCACTTTTCATATATTCCCACAATGCCCAATTCTTACGAGACCCAATTTCCACCATGCCCACCTTCTTTAGATGTTTGCTCTACTTGCTAAACTTGATTTTTTTCTTAATTTTTCTCTATTTACTTCATGCCATGAAACAAAATCGAATTCAGCAGGTATAGCAACACAAACATACTGAATTGGTGGTACTACTGTTACTAGATAGTGTTTGTGAAATAAAGATGGACACATAAAAGAACATCGATATTTGCGTACATCCATAACACGATAGCGATAAACCGATCATTTTTATACCTGTTCATCGACTAATTGAATTATCGATATTCCCAAACATCGAAGCTCCAAAACTGTATTTTCTATAGAGTCACTGGATGGTATTAGTTTGATAAGAGTTCGGACACAGCTGAACTTTTGTCCTTTTCTATTTTCTATAATACAATGGTTTAAGTGAATAAAAGAATAAGACATATATTCTGCTCTTTGTCTTTTCAATTTCCCTAGTAGCGCCTGATTGTCAGATACGATTTTAGAGGTTATATTTTCTGTCAAATCAATCATAGCCGTAGATGGACAATGGGGATAGGGTACAAACACCCACTTCAATTTACACTTCTAGCAGAACAACTGTTATACAGGGTGTTTCGAAATTCGACCGACAACGCTTGACAGGTGATAGCCCTCGTGATTTCATAATCACTGAGATAGGGACAGACGGTCTTGAAGTGTTCAGTTCTCGAGATACAGGGCGTTGAAGTTAAGAAATTTAAATAGTTTTTTCGCAATATCTCAAGAATAATTTAATATAATGCATTCAAATTCGGTATATGGTTTCATCTTTCACTGATTAATTTCTTGACCAGAAAGACATTCCGAGAATTTTATCCAGAGATGCGCTACAGAGGGTTGTGATAACTTTTCCTCCCATATTTTCTACGCCACTGATGAAATTTCAATTATTTCCAATTTCTCGAATTGTTTGTTCAGTTATGTTGAAAAAATGCATCACCTTCAACTGAGCTAAAATGAACAGTTATCGGGATATTTGACCCAAAATAGAAGTATGCATAGTAATTTTTCATCTTCCTCGGTAGTAAAAAATTACGAAAATTTTTGTTTTCTCTTCATGTGTTCTGTTCAGATATGGAATGAGATCTGAATAGTATCTAATCTACTCAACACCAGAAAAATATTTTTGCAATTTTCTACTACTGAAAATGATGAAATATTACTATGCAATCTTCTATTTTGGGTCGAATATCTCGAGAACTGTTTATTTCAGCTCAGTTGAAGGTGATGCATTTTCTGAACAAAATTGAAAAATTGAATTCGAGGAATTGGAAATAATCGAAATTCAATCAGTGGCGTAGAAAATATGGAAGGAAAAAATGCCACAACCCCCTGTAGGGCACCACTGGACAAAATGTCCGGAATGGCTTCCAGGTCAAAAAATGGCCCATTCAAAGATGAAACCATATACCGAAGTTGAATGCATTATATTCAATTATTCTTGAGATATTGCGAAACAACTATTAATTTTCATTTCTCAACTTCAACGCCCTGTATCTCGAGAACTGAACACTTGAAGACCGAATGTTCCTATCTCAATGATTATGAAATCACGAGGGCTATCACCTGTCAAGCGTTGTCGGTCGAATTTCGAAACACCCTGTATAAATGAAAAGAATGCATGTAACAACATTTTAATATCAGAAAATATACACCATATGAATAAACTTATAGCTATAATTCCTTATTGTATGTGAAACTTGACTCCAGTGAAGAGTATAAAACATGAAGTTATTTATATTAAATTAAAGGTAGGTATTCTCAATATACAGGAAGTAACATAAGTACTTTGAAGTGAAGTATTCCTAAGACAATTATAAGAAATAAAGTTTATATAAGCTTTTGTGTCCGGAAATGCTTCATTTCGGAGATACAGGGTGCTGAAATACCTCGTGAAATACAGAGAACAAATCATTGTTCGATAAACATTTGATAGGAAAATAGTAGTTTATTTTGACGAGACCTACCAAATACTTGGTTTTGTAAAGTTCTCAGCAACCCCACTTAGCGCCCTAGGAGCTAAGTAACACGGATCGATATAGAAAATATCTCCAAAACGATAACGTCCAGCGTAATTAAGGCCCTTATAATAAGTCCCTTGATACATAAGTAAATATTCACTTTTCACTGTTAAATTTTAGATTTGGTTGTCACCAAAAACGTCATTCAATAATATATCACTTTGTAGTTTACTTGCTTTCCTTAGTTTCGGTTTCAAATTCTCAATTTTATCATGTAATTTTGCGATCATTTCCTCTTTTCCATGATTATTTCGTTTTGTATTTTGTGTGATGATAATAATGGAATTTTGTTCTCGAAATCGCCTGCTTTGTAAATTGATGGAACAGCAGATTCTCACAAACAGATTTTGAAATCTTCTGTTTGAAAATGGGCCTAAAATATAGTTTCATTCTAATCAGATGCTGTTATGGAAAGTGAATTTTAATGAGTACCTCACAAATTTCGCTCGTCTTCAAATTGATTTTGCACCCAGGCCATTTCATATCTTCCTTCCATAAACAAATGGTTGATATTTGTTTCGGAAAATTGAATAAATGATATCCATTTTTTTCAGAATTGGCACAATTTATTACACAGCAAGTAATTTCCATAGCTGCTTTTATCTCGAATGTATAATTATGAAATTTTATTTCAATTCTGACGTTTATAAAATGTATTGTCAAATTCAAACAATTTTGAATGAGAAAGCGCGGGACGACTATGGTGCTCTTGTCACAATGCAAGGTGTGTAACTTAATAAATCTAAACATTCAAAAACCCTAACCGTTGTCATTTCTGTGTCCGAACTCTTATCAAACTAATAACATCCAGTGACTCTAGTATTTTCCATGTATTTTCTATATGGATATAACTACAACGCGAAACTAATATCCATCCATGAATATCGACCTTTTTACAATGTTTTTGGGGATAATAATCGATATTTGACAAACATCTCTAGTGTGAAAATGTCCTACGTCACAGACGGCATTAGCATTGACACTTTTGACTGAGATCTTTTGACTTTTCTTTTGACATAAACAATTTGTCAATTTGACAACACAACACAGCAGTAGCAGTTATTTTTGAATTCGGAATTTTATATGTAAATATTATTTTGAGTGTCATTTACATTCGTATTTCGGATTCAAATTCAAAGTTTCAACTACTTGTTCTGATTGAAATGAACAAAGAAAGCAGTATGTTGGTCAAAACGGCTAATAAACTAGGAGTAGTGGGCCCTGCAGTGAAGTAAAAAGTCGACAAAGATATGAATAAGCTAAAAATATTATAACCTACTAATAATTGTAGGAAGGCTGAAGAATTTCTGAGAACATTTCAGGCAAAGGGATCTGTGAAAGTAAAAAATTTAAGTGATGTTGCAAAAAATATACTTTGTCTGGATTTGGCCACCACTCATATGTCTGCTAGATTTGACAAGGTAAGGAGAAAAATAATAGAGGTAGGTACCTAGATTCTTTCTAGTCACTGGATTGTGTTAGATGAGTTCTTTCATCTGCTTTTCCATGTCCTCTAATATGCATTACACTATCAATATAGGGGAATGAAAAAAAATTGAATCAAGGAAAGAAAATGCAATTTGAATCTCAAGATTTGATCACCAGTTGGCCACATACATAGTGAATGGTGTGAGCACAATGATCATGCTATATCTATAGTGTGGTAAAAGTCCACTTATCATGTGATGTTTTTTTTTCTAAAAATTTTTTTGGTACTTATGTATCTTTGTCTGAAAAACATGAATTTCACAATGAAAATGTGAACCAACTGCTATGTATCCAGATATTTTACAAAAGCTCAAAATTTCACCTTCTTTTGCCACCCATCTTGGATATTCCAAAAAACCATCCCATGGTAAGTAAATAATACCCTAATACTGAATTATATCATAAGTATGTCTACAATGTATTGTGTTGTTGATGGCTGCAGAAGTAGAATGGGTGGAAAATTCTCATTTTTTAGAAGTCCATTGGATAAGGACAGGTAAAAAATACTTACATTATAAATACAGATGAAGAGGAAAGTTACCAAACTGCTGTTGAAATGTACTGCAAAATGGCAAGTACATAATGCAGGTTAATTTTTCTTAATTATATTAAAAATCTCAGTTAAGAGGACTATCTATTTCAATTGAAAAATACTTCAAGTTCATTTACTTTGGAAATTGATTTGCTTTGTGAAATTCTTTCAGTTGACTATTTGGAAATAGAATTGACACTTTTTTGTACTGAATAATAATAATAATATTTGTGGACTGTATCTTAAAGATGGAGGACATTTTCACATCCTTCAATGAGTTAGCTGGCCATGATCCAATAGGTATGAAACTGTCATTCCATCATTCTTGTGAGCAATTTCCATATGATTATTTCTTTACATTATATACAAGATTGAGGATTTATTTACACTGAAGTTCTTGAATCATGACATGAAAACTGGTAAGATCAGTAAAGTAAATCCAAAAATAATGATATTAAAACATTTATAATTTTTGTATTATTATATGAAATAAATATATCATACACTATTTTTCCTATATAATGTTCATTATATGTATATCATGCTTCTTCCTCAATATAATGAACAATGATAATTCAATTATCATTCAAGTTGAATTTGAGTACAACTATCAGCAATCAAACATTTGGAAGAACCCTGGTAAAATTCTATGAATTGTAATGTTCTGAATGCTCCTGGTTATGAACCAATTTTTTGTCCCAGAGCCCGCAGCATCAAAGGGAGTGAGTTAACTGGTATATGTAATATTTCCTAAACTGTGATTTGATGTAACCATCTATGTATTTTGAGTATTTTGTCATGATTGTATTCATTCTTGATACACTTGAGTTTCAGTGCATATCACAAATGCCTAAAACCAGGTGGAAACAAACTACACTAGAATGCACTTTTCTAATGAATATTCAAATACAGTACACTTCCTGTAGTGCAAGTGGAGTGCTACAGTTTTCCTGCTAAAGTGTGAACTGAGAACCATATTTCATATACACTACACACCCTATTCATGATAGAAAATAAGCATACGCCACCTATCAGAGTTTTTGAAAGCTGTCAAAGTGGCATGTTTATCTTGTTTTCATTGGTTCACATTTGTTTTTGTTTGTGCTTATTTTTCATATCATCAAAACAAACCGCTTAGAAGTGTTCAAGTTGCTGCCGTCAGGTGGGGCGACGTGTTATTTTCTATTCACTTTAGAAAATAAGCGTACGCCACCTATCGGAGTTCTTGGAAGCTGTCAAAGCGACATGTTTACTTTGTTTTCATTGGTTCACACGAATGTTAAGTTAGGTCAGTTCGTGGTTAAATGCTAATAGTATGTATAATTTTGTTGCAGGAGACTGCTATTAAACTCTCTGGACTGAAAAAACCTGCATACCAATTAAGCTTGCATACAGTTGAAAAAATACTTGATCTTGACAAACCTCTCACTGTGTCAGAACTTTGTGTTCAACTTAGTTGTACTGTTATCAAGGAATTAGCAGAAGAAATATTTGAGAAATACAAGAGTAATAATAGGCTATCAGAACACATAGATCATCCTCAGTACATAGCTGCTGCAGTTTACACAGCCTGCAAGTTAGTTGATCATCTATTCTATTCATCCTGAACCAACAATAAAAAGCAATTCAAGAAAATACTTCTAGGTTGAAAAAGGTTAAAATTCAAAAACCACAAATTGTAGAAATCAGCAGGTTGAAACCTCAACAGTGGAAAGAACTGACAATAGAATTTGAGAAATTTGCTCTATCCTTTGGAATTGGTTCAGTGAGAAAGAGTAAAATTTCAGATCCAAAGAGTACTCTAGATGTAGATGAATTAGCTAAAGACATAGGTCAGTAGTAGTTGATCAATATACCATTTTACATACTCACTGCTCATAATTAATTTCAGAAAGAAAAGTTGTACTGAAGAAAAATCAGTTTGATGAAGAACAAATTGAAGATTATGAGACATGGAAGAAGAGGATTTTAGATGAGGCATATGAAGCATTAAAAACAAATTATAATGATAACCTGTGATAACAAAATTATTTAATCATTGTTTCTATATTTTTCATTTCTTGCAGTATTAGGTTATGTTTTTATTTGATAATTAGAGTGTAATAATACAAAATACCTCTCATCTGAAAAACAATTTTATTTACATCATTGAAAATTCAATATATACAACAGTCTACATATTTGGTATGTATTTTAAATAAAAATTGGTACCACATCAGGAAATCATAAATTGAATATTGAGTTAATTTAAAGACATCTTCCTTCACACATGAATATGGAAGATCATACACTATGGTTTCAAATTTATGAGGGCACCAAGCTGTATAGAGATTATTATTCATGAAAACATAAAAAATACTTCAATATATTCCTTCCTGGTATTTGTTAGATGTTAATACATTCTTCCAACGTTTCCAACAGTCTAAGTAGCCTTACACATAGGAGTTTTTTAAATAAGAAAAAAATATTATGAACAATTGATTACTTACAAGTCAATTGTAGAAATTAAAACTGTTTTTAGACCTGTGCTTCAAGTATCAATGTACAGGGTGTTTCAAAAGTCTGATACCAAGAATGAAAAACAGAACTGTAGAAACTAAAGGTGACTCATTTTTTCATAAGACAATTCCTAGAAAAATAGGGCTATTTTACAAATGAACACGAATGTAACAAATCTGTTACAATAGGTACACTTACCTACAACCTACTCAAAATCTTTCCAGTTCAAGAAGGCTGTAAAATAATATTAAAATAAATAGATTGAAGTGTTTAATTCAAATTGTGCCTGGGTAATCTTGGTACCCTCCCTAAACTCTTCAAGTATCTTAAAAATCGACATCAATGAAATTGCTTGAATTAGACATGGAAGCCATTTCCCCAAAAATCAAACCCTATAACTAAATATTCAAGAGGTAGTTTAAAGAAGAAGAAAATCAAACTACAGAAACTCCAGGTAGCCAACCGCTGAAGCTCAAGTACTGTGTGACGGCTTCCTTTATGTTTGATTCCTGAGGGTCGACGTCTGATGAGCTAGAAGTTTTATGTCTCCCAGGAGAAAGAAGGTTCTCCTACAAAATGAGCAATCTTTGATTCCACAATCGAGTGAATTCAAGTTTTTTTTTTCTATAATCCAAAATGTCTGCTTCAAAAATAACCTGATGAATTCGAAATCTATTCAGATTTAAATAGCTTTATTGTTCGTCTATGGATGCCCTTACATAATGGTAGGTGGGACTGGTAAGAGCCAATGGTAAGAAATGAATGATGAATATATTTATGCAAATATGTTTTAGTATAATCCCACTTTCACAATATTTATGTTTTCATCATTTTTAAGTATTCAGTGTAGGTTGATATATGGTTGATATCCACTAATATGTTATTGATGTATTTCAATCATACTATTGAAAGTAATCATAATTGTTATAAAACAATGCAGATTATATTCAAATGAAAAAAACTTCACATGATGAGATATCCAAAATCTAAGTTTTTCTAAAATAATAGCTTTTGTATGAGTATTCCACTTGAAGAAGCTACTGTGTTACATGTGTGTTTTTGAGAATTTTGTGAAATTCTTCTAGTTTGTGAAGCTTTTCATTTGCTATGAATTTTCAATAACAGTTGTCAATGAAAAAAAAAAGATTATAATTATTTTGCTGAAACTTTTTACAGGATACCAAATGTCATGGCCTCTTCTACTTCAACTCTTGTTATTTGCATCAGACTTACGAAAACCAGTTATTTTTTGTGTATAAAATGGAATATGGAAGAGTTTGATATGAATTCATAATAAAATCAAAGATAAGCTAAAGCTCTTCTGTTGAGGTAGTTTTTCATAAACTGAATATTACTACTCATTCAAAAAATGCAATGAGTCTATGGTTGTTTTGAAAAAATACTAAAATCAAATTGATTATGCACAGAATGAAGCAGTTCCATATTGTTTGATTGACATATTTGCTAGAATCATAATTCTTACCTGTATTATCAATGATTTCATTGTTATGTAGTGGATAGGCTGGATATCTAAGTTAGCACAAAGCTGAAAAGATATGGGGATGTAAATCAAAAAGTTCACAAAACAGTGAGAAGATAAAACAACTTCTCTAGGATAAAAGAGGTACTTATTAAAGCAGTGATATTGAAATCGATATTGTATTTTAGGAGTGGTAACGAAAAACGAAAGGCACTTCAAACAAAGCATTCTTTTCAGTGTAAATTGAAGATTTGGATACTATAATTAGATACTGACAATAACCCAAACACGAAAACATTTTTTTCAAACACTATGCTCCAAAAAATCCGCCCTTAGCCTATGTCCCAATAGTTATGACTCATCCTGTATAATAAAATATTTAATTGAAGATGAAGACGCAAGTGGATGAACGCCAATGTGAAATTTTCTTGAAAAATTACTAAAATTCGATGTTTCATAAAGAAGTTACAATAAATTCTTTCCACAATTCTTTTATCATGATGGACGGGCAATTATTGCTCTTAAATTCAAGGGTACCTATTGATGGAAATATTCGCCTCTGTTGGAAAAGTGAGAAAATATAATTCAAAACGAGACATACTTGTATTTCATTCTCAGACAAGAGATTCCCCATGGGAAAGTGTCTCAGCGGTACTGGTTCAATTGCGCTATCCGAGTTCGAGTTGTTGCTGGAGAAGTAGTTGTTGGTGTCGCATTCTTCGTTTAGAAGCAACATGGACCTTTTTTCTGTGGAACTTTGGTCGGCTTCTTCTCTTTTTCTATAAACCAAGGTCAAACATAATATACTCTCAATTAGACAAACAAAATTATTCAGGAACCAAAATCTATGAAAGAAATTCGAATTTCAGTAACAAATAACAAGTGATTGACTGAATTTTTCTCAAACAGTGTCAAAAAATATTCTCAATAAGGGAAAATTCCTATTTTTATTGTATTTTAATATAATTATGTATACCACAAAATGGAACCATTTTGCCGAAAATTTTCGGCGATTGTTAAGACAGCTTGTTGCCTAATAATTTCGCGAATGACATTGTTTTTCAAAAAATAGCCATACTGAAAAAATAGCATACTGAAGTAACGCAGGGTATAACATGAAGTGTTGTAGCCATCTAGCGGCAAAGCTCTAAGGTAGGATCAAGAGATCGCGACACACACTGTGTGGCGCTGCCATCTATAGTCACATGTACAGACTCTTACGTCTATACGCTACAGAGTGGTACTACAGGTAGACCACTCTGCTGACAGATGACACTACCTGACATACACTTGAGTGGATTTTTCCACCGACCTATTCAACTGCTAGATCTCATAACACTGAAGTAAGTCGATCGACGGATATTTCCAGGAAAAAAGTATCAGGAGTTGTTTTCGTATGACTATTTATTGATTGAGACAATGAACGAGCGCCTCGTGAGACACTGCATCCATCATCAAGTTTTAAATGTCAAGAGTTTTATCACTGATAAAATGTACTATCTAGACCGCTAATGCCATGCTATAAGATCAAAGCTCATTCATATACGAGATCGAACTAGGTTCAATAGAGCATTCAGGTTTTTTATATCTTTTTTTTTTCTTCTCTGCACAGGTGGGCGGGTGCAGGTGTTCATAATTTCGGTGACAATAAATTATGGAATTTTTGTTGAAATTTAAAAAAATGGCTGCTCCAAGATGGCGGACAAGATTTGGTCCGATTCCATTCAAAATTGGTAAGTGGGGGTTTTTGAGGTCGGAGATCATGATTTTTTTGTTAAAATTGATAAATTCAAGATGGCGGCTTCCAAATAATTATTTGTTCTTGTATAAATGACGATAACTCCGTTGTTATCAACACAAAACTATTACTGCGACATATCATCTGTGAGAGAAAACAAAGTTTTTTGTAACTAAGTCATAGTGAGCTATGACCTACTTTTGAAAAACCAAAGTTGGTGCTGATATCTCAAATTCTAGAAGAGTTGGTATAAATTTCATATTTTTTTCGAAATCACTTTGAAAAACTGCCATGAGAATGTGAAATTCCTATTCGAATATTTTCATAAATAAAGAAGTTACGGAGGAGACATGAAAATGATCAAAATCTGTTTTTTGCGTATAAAACAAAAACGAATAGATTTTATCAGAATATTTTTTCACATTATAGTTGGCCTTGACAAACTCCACATTTGGTGTCATTTAACCGACCTCGTATCTCTCACCGTTAAAAAGATACCCATGGTGAGCATGGTAAGTGGGACACACTGTATAATACAAATCTAATGTTGAATTGGAAGCGGTGCTGAGAAGCTGGGTAGAATGTCAATTCATTATTTGCTATTCAGCATGCTTCATAGCCAGCTAAATAAAGTTAAATGCCTATAGGTACAGGGTGGTCCATAAATTATTGTACATAGAAGTAAAGTAGGTTTTTGACTTCATAACATTGTGTTTTGGACCAACCCAACTTGATTCCAAGTTTTTGAACAATTTTTGAACAGAGATGCATACAAAGTTCGAAAACAAGGGTTTTTGGACACGACAAATCATAACTTGGTATTTACTTCAATTTATTCTTTGGAGAGCACCACATAACCCAAATTTGTGACTTGATTGCAAGCTCTACTTTCTTGTTCTTCAAGCTAAGCTTGTTATCAATCACAAAACTTGACAGTTTTTGATATACATATATATTTTAGGAATCAGCTGGATTATTCTCATTCGATTTATCATGAGAAATATCAACTTTGGGCAGTGAAGCTTGAAAATAATAACCCAATAGTTGAAGGCAGTCAAGTTTCGGTAAAATAATATATAATAATTATAAATTACATTCCACTCTGGTTTTCAGCAAGGATGGAACATTCAACATTAGATAGTGACACCGTAACTATACAGGGTGATTCAAAAGTAAGTGGCATCCTTTCAGGGGTGTATTCCTTGCATGAGAATTAGGCAAAAAACTCCTATTTTATATTCAGGTTATTGTGATTTACGAAAATCAGAAGGTTTCAGAGTCGATTTTCTCCTAAATGGTACGCTCTATCGAAATGAACTAAGAGTACCTTTTTTACGTGAAAATTCTAGAATCTTATAATTTTCAAACGAAATCACAATGACCTGAATATCAAAAGAAGAAGCGATGTTTTTACACTTACCCTCCCCCGCATGTGACGACTCTGAATAAAATTTTGAAATTTTGAAGTCTTATTTACCATCTAATGTTTATGCCGTACACCAATTTTCGAAAATTTATTGTGAATGATTTCAAAGTTATAGAGAAAAAACCGTTTTTGAGGTGTAGGAAGCATTTTCGGACCCTTGTTATCAGGAACTTTTTGCCTTATTTTCATGCAAGGAATACGACTCATACTGTATAACATTCCACTACCGATTTGGGCACTGTTTGAAGTTGGTCCCGCTTTGAGGACAGCTATGATTCATATATGAGTAGTAGATATATGGTTCGAACATTGTGCTACGCGATTCAGCACCATTTTCAATTATTGGTTGTGATAGTGAGGTGTATTGAAATGAGCCACTGAGAGTTGAGACGGGTGCCGAATCCTATAGTGGAATATTCAAATGCTCCCCTCATTACCCAAGTGTTCTGGGATCCACCCACATGAGGCTGACTTTCCTAGTTTTTGCCATATTTTTCAAGGCACTTCTACACTCAGACACTAATTTAGTTGTAATCCTATTGGATTGTTCTAAAATTGCGTTTTTCGGTTGACCCCTTGCGAGTGACCCTCAGAAGTCTTCGAGAGTCTTGTGCGAGCAAGGAATGACGGGGGCCTTACCTTTTAACGTGTGATCCCAAACACTTTCTTGGGCCATCAGAAAAGTTCTGCAGTGATGGGAATCGAACCCACTATCGGCAAGCGAATGCGGATTAGAATATTGACACTCTGTCCGCACGGCTACCTGGCCCCTTGTCCGATCATATGGTTTTGTATATCTAACTTATGTTTCCGAACACCAAGAGATATGACTGGATGTCATGAAAGACAGTTTAGGAATTCCTGAGCATTAAGCAGGAGGGTTTTTAGGCAAGCAATTTGACTCAAATTTTAGGGTTGCTGGGATATAACATAGCGGTCTAGATATCAGTGAATTATCTATCTATGAACTGGCTATTTTTTCAATTCGGCTGATTCACTGACATAGCACTCAGCTCGCACGGCCTTCTAGAGCCAGTACGAAAATTAATGCACCAAGTGCAACATCAGACGCGCCAGTTTTTCAATGGGTATCGCTATACATAATGAAAATAGTTATTTATGTACCAAGGACGAAACACTGCCGAGGCTAGCAATCAGGCGAGTTTTTCGCCGAGGTGCATATTACATTTTTTCGTCGACCTCAAACACTTATATCCACATCACGATCCTATTCACACGTGAAATCTATCGGATTTCGTGAATAATTAATTTGACAACAGCAAATGACAGTTGTTATCAACTCACTCTCCGCGCGGACCAGGGTTGCCAGTTCTATTTTTATTCCATCAGTAAATACCTTGTCAAAAATTCAGTAAATTTCAATAGACCTGTCCAAGATCTATTTTATGCTATACAAATTCCAAGAAAGGATAATAAACCAATGATGTCAAAACATTTAGTAAACAGAAAAGTAGGCAAGCTATTTCCAACAAAATGGAAACAAACAAAACATTCTCATACAAAAATACTCTTATTCCTAATTCGCAATTCAAAAATACAAATATCACAAAATACAGGTACATAGGTATTTATGAGACTTGAGTATATAAAAAACAGGAACGAATAGTAAAAATGAACAACAAAAACACAAAACAAATAAAAAATATAAACATAAGAAATAAACTGTTATAACAGAGGCATATAAAATATGTGATTTGATCTGAATCAGATAAAAAAATATTGTCTTTTTTTGATTTATACATATCATTAGCACCTATATGTACATTTATTACCTATTTTGTAAAATTATTTTAAACAGAGCGTGCCGAAATATCATGCAATTTATGTATGTGTATGTGATTAACAGAAGATTAATAATAATAACGTCAATTATAATAATAAATAGGTGTCAAAATATTTTTCAGTAGATAATTAAATGTTCATATGCAAATAAGGAGATCTATTGAAAACTCATTAGAACTGGCAACCCTGCGGCGTAAGAGTGTTTGCTGTCGAAAAGTTAGTGTATGCGGACGAAAAGTACTTACCTTCGGAAATAGTCGGTTTTTCGTTCGGAAATTAGAATGAGAAATGTGATTTTTTGTAGAGGTCGACGAAAAAATTTTTTTCTAGAATAACCTAAATCAACATCAAAATATCATAATGAATTGGAGATTTCATTGTCAAAATTTACGTCTTACATTCTATTGTGATAATACATTTTACTTTACTTACCCGCTTTTTGGGGGATACTCCTGCATTGCATAGCCACTGCTGCCCTAAGTGAAATGCAAACTGATACAATCTGTTTTTCTTTAATGTCGTATTTCTGTTAACTCTAGCCTGCACACCAAACCATAACCAGGATAATATGAAATAAATGGTAATGAATGAGAATGAGATATTGAATATGAAAAGCACATATACAGTTATTTCAGATAGACATAATCAGGTAAAACATGAATAATTACCTCAATTCAAGAACCCTGTTTTTCTGTGAATATCCAATATTATTTGTGTAATTTTCAACTGCAAAGTCTTAAGAAGTCCATGAACAAGATGATAGTGACCTATGATCAGTTGATTGAGTGCGGACAATGTGATTATTCAACCAAACACAGAAAATACAAGAGAATATATTCATTGTTATACATTACAAGATTGCTTTCTCCTAAAGAATTCAATAAATAATATAAAAATATCCAGTGGCATGCTACTTCTTTCTAGAAAAGAGATATATGTATGTTACTAATGTATAGGCGTACTGATTCCTATAACTAAATGTCTTTCAAACAAAGTTCAACGCTCTTTCCACTTATTTTGCGAGTCTCTATACATTTTCAAACTCAACTAGTTGAGCGCCGCCGTACAAGGGAAAAATCTGGTCCCAGATGACCAAATTTTTTTTTAACGGTTTTGACATAATTGAGCATCACCGTTTATGTCTCTCCACGAATTTTGTCGATTTGTGATTTAGTTTTTTTTTCATAGGCCTTTTTGTCTGAGGCATCCCTTGTATGCCGCGCGGCCTGTGGGAATTATCATATGGTATAGGGCCATGCGACATACATGTCATGTTCAGTTCAGTTGCATACATTTCAGTTCATTATCTTTCCATCTCATGAGATGCAATATATTCCGTTGTTTGTAATGTGAAAAATGCAAAAATCATGCTTTCTTCGTTCATAGTGAAGTACCTACCAAAACAAGACCATCCTCCACTTTCAAATTGAAATATTAAAAAAAAAAATCGAAAATAAAAAATATTCACGGGCCAAGACCATAGCATGGTTCGTCAGGCCACACTCTTCAAGCCCCAATTTGATTTGTACAGAAGCGAGGCATCTCTACGATACCACACCAGAAAATATAACAGTCCGTCACGAGGCACAGTGTATATGCCGCGCTGCCCCAGGAGCAAAACTATGTGTGGCACGCGCACTATACCTCACGGCGCTCAACTGGTTAATGTATATAAATCTAGATTACCCTGTCCCTGTATGAATTAATACATTGGTTTCAAAGAAAGCAAATAGCTGAAGAAGTAAAAACATTGAACAGTTGAAAAACATGTTTGCTTTAAGTGTAGTTGAAAAATTGATGAAAATGTTACAAACTCTTTCAATTATGAACAACACAGAATGAAATAAATCTTATACCAGCCAGAGTTCCTAATTGAGGCAATAAAAATAATACCGAAATTCAAAATAACAATAATTCTAAATAAATAATTATCTTTTCCATAATACACATTCCCTAACTAACCTTATCTCTGAGGTACTTACTGCAGTTTGATTTTCGGTATTCAGAATACTTCATGTTATAATTGTTGAGATTGTTATCACAGCTGAACCAGACAGAACTAATGCAAGAACAATAAACTTCTGAATTTTGATCCCTATGAATGAGAATAATGTCTCTATTTGAAAGAAATGGCAATCACGCCTGGAAAACAATATTGAGTAGCACTTCTTCTATTCCTGACTATAAAACATCCAGAAAAAAAAAACAGAAATCACTACGCGTATTTTGTTCGTTATGGTGGGTCGAATTTATCGTATCCTCTTCGCCACTCATTAAAAAATGGAAGACAAAGATGGATGTACGATATGGATGTACTCTTCTCCTGATCATGAAGAAAAAGAAAGTTATGAAAAGCCTTAAGCTAAGCGAAAAAACATATAGGTCACGTACACGATGACCGACCCTAGAGGTAAAACATTGAAACACAACCTCACTTTTCTGTAAACATTGAAACACATCTCCACTTTTGACACAGTATCAAAGGAATCACAGGATTGAAATACATTTTCACAATATTTTGGCACACGAGTTATGTTTATTTATTAATTCAAGCAGGCCATCACATTGTGCTGTTGTACATTACACACAAAATGCAGCGAGAGACGAAAGAATATGATTTTTCAGGTAAATAGTGATCTCACAGTTTCCATAATGAAATTTTGTCATTTCCCATTAGAATTTCTTCTGCCACTTCTGCAACAGAAGCTAATAGAGTGAAAATGTCTACAACACACACGATACACGATCATATTTCGTCAGCATGTCAGAGCAGTCCTCCAGTTTGATTGCATGAATCGATCAATGTTCTTGGAGTTCGGGTCTTCTTTTAGAAACTTCACGCACGAGCATTTTTCTATTAGCTCCTATTGCAGAAGGAATTCCGATGGGAAATGACAAAATTTCACAATGAAAACTACCTATATGCGAGTGACTATTATAGTACTTTTAGATCACAATATGTACCTACCTGGAAAATCGGATTCCTTCGTCTCTCGCTGCATTTTTTATGCATTGTACAACTGCACAATCACAATGTGATTGCTTAAATTAATGAATAGCCGAAAAGCACCATTAGTATGCCAAAATAATTGTGAACAGCTATTTTAATCCTATGTAAACAAATAAGAAAAGTGAGGTTGTGTTTCAATAATTTACCTCCAGGGTCGGTCATCTGACAGATCTTGCACACAACCCATTCATGTCTTTCAAAGCCATTTGTGGTTATGTCTTTCAAAGTCATTTGTGGTTATGTCTTCCTGTCACTACTTATCTAGGTCATGTTCCGATATGAGCAATTTAGGAACACTAAACAGTAGCAGTATCTTTGAATTTTCATTCCATTTCGGGACGATGTTGGCAGTACTGGTACACTGGCAGCTCAACTGGCAGGAAAACATACTACATAATCACAACCTTTGATCTTTCGATTTTCGATGTTTTGTTTTGTTGGTTTTTATTTTCATCATTCTTATTACTGCTACATGCCCCTAGTATATGTACTCCAAATATACAAAAAAGTCGAAACAAAAATGTCAAGTACATCAAGGAACTCTCAGTTATAATGAATCACACAACGCTGCTGGTTCAGCCTATAGATAACAATGAAAACGATGTTGATGGAATTCGACGGAATTTTTGGTTGCCGACCAGTCGTTAATATCACGTGACTGATCACAATGACAAATACGATTGTTTCGACCGGTCGCTTGTATAAAGAAACGACAAAAACCTTAAAAACCGTGAACTTCACTTCTCAATCGATAATATGTCGAAAATAACACATATCCTGATTTCCTAAAAATCAGATACATTAGGAATCATCTCTTTTATTAGTCATTGAATTCCTCGAGATAGATTTTGTGGATGGAATAATAATTTTGAACTGCCTACCATAGATATTTCGCTCAAATGAATCATACAGTGATGTAATGCTATTTTTGTTCAATGGGCGTGTACACCTTAGTAGAACTCTTAACTCAAACCATGTTTATATAATGATCCTTTTATACATAAATAATGATTGACGACATAATTCGATCGAAAAATGAACTGGAATGTTTCATTTTTGGACATAAATAATAGTACCCTCTGAAAACGGACCCTCTTATGACGTAGAAACCTCATCTCGCCATAGTTAGAAGGAAATACCAAACGCCCGACGGAGACTGAGACAACTGATATATTAATTCTTTCAACTGTGATCTCGCGCTAATTCACTCTGTCAGAAATCATGTACCATTCATCTCTGTCTGGAATAGTCTTGTTTCAGTATTAGGGTTTTGACGTCACATCATCGCCTCGTTTTCAGAGGTCCGAAAAATCGGGGATTTCAATAATTTTCTATGAAACGTAGGGAGCTCACAGCAAGAAACGGTTTGCGGTGGTGAGCTCGTTTGGGTGAGTTCTATCGAATTATAAAATAAATTTTCGTGATATAAGCCCATTATAAGCAATTTGAGTCACCCATTTAGAAGACTGTAGATACGTGACTGATCACAATGACAAATACGATTGTTTCGACCGGTCGCTTGTATAAAAAAACGACAAAAAGATTTTGTGGATGGAATAATAATTTTGTACTGCCTGTAATGCTATTTTTGTTCAATTATAAGAAATTTGGGTCACTCATTTAGAAGACTGTAGATACCCTTGCCACTTTTTGTGTAATTGGATTGTTTTGAGGTTATATTTTATATCCTTGAACCACATCGAAAATCAAAAAGCCCGAACACTGTGGTCTTAGATCGGTCGGTCCTGGTCTTCAATAAAAATCGTTACCATTTGGAGGTCGGTCAATGCGGTCATCAATTAAAAACCCTGTGGTCGAAGTGTGGTCCAAGTGGTCGCAACCGGTCGGCAATCAAAAACTCTCTCAAAGATGACAGTTGATGCAACCACACTTACAGATTTATGCTGCCTCATCTGCTGCTGCCGCTCATAGGCAGCATGCTGTTCATAATGTATAATATCTTCCTGAGTGGTCAGTCCGAGGCTTCGATATTTCAAAAGCTCGGAAAGTCTATGACGCAGTTCTCTTTCTCTCTCTATACTGGCAATAAGTCTTTCGTGCTCTCCTGATGATAAAAATTGGGAACAGACTCTCATCTTTTCCCTCAAATCTCTACAAGAAATTAGAAATTCAAAAGGAAATGTATTCTTCATTATATTGGAAAAAATGTGGAGACTTGTAATATAAATTGTATAAAAACCACGGATTGGAAATTTGAACATGGAAACCTATAAGCAGTCTTCAGACTGGACAATAACACCATATTTTCTCTTTTGTTTTTTTAAGAACTCTCAATTATTTCCTGATATAATGTTGCAAAAATATAACAAAATAATATACACACATGAATAAATTATTCAGGCATTCTAGGAGACAAATCTGTTTTGGATGTGAAGCCTTATCCGTGGAATTTCGCAACACACATTATACAGATGTTCGTTTTCAAGATACAGGGTGATAATTGACCAAAACGATTTTTTATTGATATGTAAAAAAAGCATTTGCCAAAACAGTTTGTTGAAATCTCCACAGGTATCTTTTGGACCTCTCAGAGTTTAACACAATGATTCCAGGTGTGTACCCACAGGATGAGAGGGTTAGTTTTGTACACGATAAATAACACTCAGTAGATGTTTTCAACCCCTTATTGTTTTCTTAGGTACGGCAATTGAAAACATGAATTTTTGGTCCTTTGATTTTTTCCAGTCTTACTTTGTTTATTTTGTTTAAGAGTTGGGATTGAGAAAACAAAAAAATCACATTTTGTTCAGAGAAAAATAAAGTAAGGTAGAAAAAATTGTGGGAACTGCTTTCTTATTTTAATGAAAATAATCTGTTGAATTCAGGAACAACATGTATAATAAATTGTATATTTTGATGAAAGAAAGGGAACTAAAGACAGACAGAAAAGGTTAGCAGAGAGCATAATATATCTTTCATTCCTCTTACAGAAGAGAATGAAGATATTCACATTTTGTGAACAAAGATTTGGACATAGTAGACATAGATACCAACCTCTGTTCCTTTGTGAGTGGTTGTTTGAGTGGATCCTTTCGCATATTAGCGAAATGCTTAGCTACCAACTGATAATCTCTAACAATTCTTTTTCTCCTGGCCCTCTCTCTCAGTCTTCTAACATACATGTCTACCATTGCTAGTTTGAGGACTTTCTCTATCTCACTATCTTCGTCAGGATCCAACTGTAGTTGAGATACCAGTTTTTCGGCCTCCATATTGTATTCCTGAATCGACGAAACACTTTTGTGAAAAAAATCAACATTGTTTTTGTAAAAACTTCACATACGATAATATTTCCACAAAATTCTCAAACACACGACATGTTTCGCTAACACAGTAGCATCGTCAGGTGATGTACTGGTACAATGAACTAAATTAACCTTGGCTTCCTCAACTTTTATATATCCTACTTTCCCAACCTGAAGGATTAGTTACCTGTGGACAGGTTCTATAAACCTTCATTTTCGGAAATTAGGCACAATATCTACATTAAAATACGGTGTACCGGATTAACTTGAAAGGGTTGATAGCAAATACATATTATGACCTACTTAGAAAACAAATTCAACAGTGGTGAACTATTGAGGTCTAATTGATCTTTAAGTAAAATGTCAGAATTTTTTAGTTTGTTAATTTCTAATGATTCAAAATTAATGAGTTTCATTCCTTTATTTTCTACGTGTAGAATTTCGAAATTATCATTAAAACTATGGTTTTCTTCTAATATATGGTTGGCGTATGTTGAATTTGTTTTCTTTTTCAAAAAATTCATCTTATGTTCATGAATGCGCTGATTAAACGTACGACCTGTCTGACCGATATATACCTCAGGACAAGTTTGAGTTTGTATACCCCTGATTTTTCGAATTTAGAAGTTTTGTCTTCATTATTTTTGATAAACCTTTCCAATGTGTTATTTGTTCTATATGCTACTTTTATGTTCTGTTTATGTAGAAATGAAGCTAATTTTTCAGTTGATTATTATTCTTGATGGTCGGATAAACTTCTTGAATACCTTTATTATGAAGTTTTTTAGAAAGAATACTGTCTATCAAATTAACGTTGTATCCGTTGTTGACTGCAATCTGTTTTATGATATTGAGTTCTTTATTGAAATTTACTTCCGAAAGTGGGACATAAACTAGCCTATGTATCATACGGCAACGGCCGAGTCAATTAAACACACACAACATTGTTTTTGTTTGTCTAGTGTCTTTTCAGCATAGTTTGATGGGTGATGAGTTAAATCAATGATATAATTTTCTCCGTGTAAATGATGTTATTTAAGGTAACGATTTTTGAGCCAACGAACGTCAAAGACGACATCAAAGCTTCCACATTTGGTTAGCTGGATGATCTGTGGCACAGGTGCTTGAAAAAGCAGAAGATTCTCATTGAATAACTTAATGGAGGAGTGTTATTAGGTATAGGGATTGCTCAAGTAACACATCCACACTTTTTTTTTCATATGGTGTCAAAAACATAGTTGGTGCCATTTGAAGAAGTTGAATTTTCGGCAATTTTTCAATGTCACGATGTAAAAATCGCTCGCGCTCATATGGTACTGGAACTGGTAGAAGTGGGGGCGTTTGCACGTCAGAAACTTTTTTTTTCATGTTCTGGCTCTCACGAAAAGGGATATCCTATAATGTACAGAGAACATCGTGAGAACCAAGGGAAATAAGGTAGGAATTGGTGTTCTTCTTAAATTTTTGGCAATGTGTTCCAGAGCCTCGCTGTTCGTTGGATGAACGACTCTTTGGAAAGAGGTGGTTCTCTCAAGAGAGCTGGCTAACACCTCTTTCAGTTTTTCGGTTGTGTTTTGTAGGCTAGTAATGTACTCACTACCGTATGCTGCAGTGGCAGGCCTGCCAGCTACCTCGTGTGAAAAATAATAATTATTATTATCATAGTATTGTAGAAATGTACCATCAATATTATTATTATTTTCATTGTTAAATATCATTACTATTATTATTTTGTTGTATGATTAATAAAAACGAGGTGATGGAATGTTCAACTGATTAATAAGTTATACAATGCAATACGGTGATTCACTTTGGAGTCACGCATTCCTGGACGGGATGATAAAAGTCAGTATTCACTGTGCAGGGTAACGAGTCGGTCGAAGTGAATACATTGTAAAGCTCTAAGTGTTTGATTCGTTAAATAGTATATTACACACCGAGGTGGGAAGTGATTCATTCCTGTCGTGAGGTTAGCTATAATTTCGAGACAGGAATGAAACTTCCTACCGAGGTATGTATACTATTTACAACCATCCTATTTCGATCAAAATTAATAAATCTATGTTTTGTTCAGAACATACCTGAATTATTACATGAGTGAGGGCGGGAAGTGGGGGCGAGAAGTAGAGAGGGGCGGGAAGCGAGGACGGGAAGTAGAGGTGTGTAATGTGACACTTCCGAACCTTCAAGGACGTTAGTAATGACAACATTACATATATGGTTGTAAATAAAAGACATATTACAACACTCGTTAATAGAGGTCCACTAAGCAGCATTGGCCCGCCCTCACGCTCAGCTGGTAGTTTTCCACACCCGCCTACATACACCGTCCTACTTCTTCTCGGATGATCACAACTTTCTTTCTGTGTGTTCTGTCTAGGCTTTGTTACTAACTCCATGCGCCAGGAGGCTAGGAGCAGCACTGTTTACTTTGTACGACAAAACTAGCTCAAAAATTACTCATATCCAAACATAAAAAGTTGATCCCGGCGCCAAATTGATCCGTCTACTTCCCATAACATGTAGTAAACAGCTACACCCGGCCTAGCGTCGGTTTTGGGTAGGGGGATGGTAAAATGACGGAGAATATCGTTTTTTTTTTCGCCTTTACTTTGAAAACTATGAGGATTCATATCGGATTCTGAAAAAAAGTTCCCCACAACTTTTATGTTAAATGATCGGTCAAGGAGATATGGAGGGAGAAAAATTACAAATCTTTTTTACAGCGGCTTATGGGATTTTCATACGTGAATTGAATTGTCGATACAAAAAAAGTAGCTGTTAGGCCGGTGTAGCAGAGTATTTTTCGACCTTACCCTTTCATAGTCGTCTCTGTGTGGTTTGTAACCCAACAATCTGGCTTCTTCAAGGGTGATATCGAGAGGTGGCAGACGGGCAGTAACAGTGGGAGAAAGAGGTCCATCATCCTCAGCAATATGGTCGACCAAAACTGGTCTGTGGTTCGCCAGTTGAGCCCAAGTCGCTTTACCTATATTGCCATCCAGGTATCGGGCAATATATTCTTCTTTCACCTCTGATCGCAAACAGAACCAGAATAGTTACTTATGTACCTGTCTATTATTAGTAGAGTGCCAAACGAATCGTTAAGTCGCTTAGATCAAAAGTTGGTGGGAAATCGGAGGTAAAAAGCTGTGACATGCCTAGAATTGTTACCTACCATCTCCAGATCATGGATCCACTTGTCAAAAAACCGTCCTGTGCGTTTGGGGGGTAGGGGGTAATTTATAAAAAAATATGGATTTTTTTTTATTCGTGGAAAATATTATTGTTGGGTTCCAGAACTTCCACTCTGTTGAATCTTGATTTCGTGTGACAAGTAAAACAAATTAAAGAAAATTTTGAAATTCACCAATTACATTACGATATATGATAAAATCATATTTCAAACGGCTTCAACTCGAAACTTGTAAATTTTAGTTAAATTGCTTTTCATATACCTCGCATTATCTCAGTAACTACAACGTTTATCAAAAAAATACTTCAAATAATGTCGATGCGCCTATGTTTCAAGATGCGAATGGTTCTTCGATTTTGAAAATCGAAGCATAAATAAGGAGGATATAGGGAAAATCATAATCCAATGCAGGTAGTACGAAGGACCGCGATTCGCCGCTTTCATACCCCGATTCTCCCCGCAAAGCCCGCGGTCGTCCTCGAACGATCACCGTAAATATGAATTACTGAGTGTTACAGGGAAAAATATTAGATTTTAGCTCACGGTTTTTTTGTCTCCCTCCGCTACGCGTCCGGAGACAACACAACCTGGATCTAAAATCTACTATTTTTTTCCCTTGTATAATAAATAACTATTTTTGAATAGGTCGACGAAAAAAAAACTTTGCTAATTTAATTAATTTATTGATCAAGTTAATTGATTCGAATGAGCTGTCTTGTACAGGGTTGGGCAAAAGTATGGAACCAGGTGAATATCTCGGTAACCGTTTGTTAGATTTTTTAGAATATATGTACAGGGTGATTTCAGAACATGGTGGATTTGAAAATGTTATCGTCGATGTTGCCACTTTTTCAGTTATTCCGGAATTATTATCAACTTCCTTTTTTAAATAGAACACCCTTGGATTTGAAAATGTTATCGTCGATGTTGCCACTTTTTCAGTTATTCCGGAATTATTATCAACTTCCTCATTTCAAATAGAATGCTCGGATTTCTGAATCTTGAACAACCCTGTATTTGTTTCATCTAAATGTCGGTAGATAGTGAATCAAAAGTTAACTACTTGATGGAGCAAACATCCACGAAATCTTTTATTTCTGAATCTTCAACAATAACTTTGTTTTATCTCTTGGAGCGCACGAAAGGAAATTCCTATTATGTTCGTGGAAATCGTGCGTGCCTAGGGAGGATAGGGGGAGGCCTTCTAAGCCAGTTCAATATTTTTTATATCAAGCTAAGCATATTTGAAAAAAATCAGATCTTGATCACCAAAGTAGCATTTCACGTTCTAGATACAAAAATAACCATTATGCACGACCGGGTATAAAGTAGTACTTCACCTCCCGGTTTTGCGGGAGTAAAGAGGCACTTAACCGCACGCGTACTACTTTATCGCCCGGCGAAAAGGTAACTGGCGATAAGCATTCCTGTATGAATCAGGACATCTATGATAGGACAATTTCACGACGTATATGAAACTGTCATCTCCAGCTATATAAGAACCAATCAGAATGGTGTTCCTTCAATAGTACGTTCTTTTTCCTTTACAGCCGGTAAAAACATGTCATGGCAACCACGAACCTGAATAGAACATCTTGTCAGCTGATATGACAACGAGATGAGTTTCATTAGGTCCCGGAAGCGATTTTACTAAATATACTGTACGCTAGCACAAACCACGCCCACCATAATATCTCATCTTCGAAGTACTTAGGCAAAACTCAGAAACTATTTATCCTTAACGAACTAACCTATCCCTGATTGCAATATTTTTGAGGAAGGAAAACCGAATGGAGTGTAGAAACACATTGATTAATAATATATTTAATTAGTTGAGTTCTTCAACAAAATTGAATAAAATGATACTGTTTATCCTAAACGCAATAACCTATTTGACTTCAAATATTTAATGAAAAAGGAAAACCAGAATGAAGTAAAAAAACTTTGGTGAAAAAAAAAAGTTGCAAAAAAAAGTTCAAGTTCACAGCGATTCGAACCATGGACCTTCAGACTGAAAGTCGACAGCGCTAACCAGTAGACCATTTGGGTATATGAATTTACTGCGTACAAGAGATTGACAACGAGAGAGCTTCAGTCGAATTCGTGTCTAAATCATAAAAAGTGTATTCTTGCATTGGAGCACAGTATATTTAGTGCGATGTGCTGACTCCGAGTATATCGGTAATGTTTGGAGATATGACGTATTATGGTGGGCGTGGTTTGTGCTAGCGTGCAGTATATTTAGTAAAATCGCGTCCTGGAATTGTCAATAAATACAACTCAAGTTCAAAATACTATCGAAAATTCTGTCAGAAATCTCAAACTTGATCATTGCTTTAAGGTAACACCCTTCATCCTACTTTACAAAAATTATCTGATTTACCATTATGGTTACATTTATTCCATCAATGATATTCCTAACTGGAACCATGATGTATTTCCATTGTGCTTGAGAGGTGGAGAGGTGGTGCATAAAATGTATGTATTTCAGGCATAACTTGCTTTCAGATGAGACCTAGGCATGGTAATATGCTACAGTCAATGAATGCCTATTTTATGCCCTTTATACATGAATAATTATTTTTTCAATTATTATTTATTGATCACACAGGGTTTACTACAGTTGCCTTCAGCTTGTATGATAAGTTACCTTGTGTATTGATTATTATACTGTGTCCATAAATTGAAGCCCCTCTTTTAGTCAACTTTTGACTAAGGGAAAAAATATGTATTTTTCAAAATGACACCTGAATGCCATTCTGGATTTTTTCTTAAATGGAATGGGGAGATTGCTTGATACCTGGATCAATTGAATTTTTTCTTGATTCTTTATAGGACACCTGAGTTTCAGATAAAAATATGATGTTCCAAATCTCATACCAGAATTATTTCCACTAGATGGAATACAAACAACTTATATATAATTATATCTAGTGACAGAAACCTGATTTTTTATGATTATACAGGGCTTTTCACGATGAGCGTTAATTAGACGTTTCTGGCAAACCAGACAACGGATCATTTTGAAAATTTAATAGAGGGCATATTCGGACATTCTCTAGCCAACTAAAATATTTTCGACAATGTGGTGTTGCCGCTTCTATTAGAAAGCAGTAGCAACTTTGATTTTTCAAATAGAACACTCTGTATTTTATTGCATTTTTAGATCCTCCCTGAAGAGCTGATTTCATCGATGTATCACACTTGGGGTCTAGCGGAAATGATTACAGAGATATAAGGTGTGAAAAATCGACATTTTTCAACTTTAGGATTTTTTTGTGTCGAAACTATTCATCATTGGTCAAAACGGCTCGCATGTCCCTATCTCAACTTTTGATTAACTATCTACTGATATTTAATTGGGACATATACCGGGTGATCAAGATTCTGAATTCTGCACCACCCTGTATTTGTTTCAATTGAATGTTAGTAGATAGTTGATCAAAAGTTGAGATAGGGACATGTGAGCCGTTTTGACCAATAATGAATAGTTTCGACAAAAAAAATTCCTAAAGTTGAAAAATGTCGATTTTTCACACCCTATATCTCTGTAATCATTTCCGCTAGACCCCAAGTATGATGCATCGATGAAATCAGCTCTTCAGGGAGAATCTAAAAATGCAATAAAATACAGAATGTTCCATTTGAAAAATCAAAGTTGCTACTGCTTTCTAATAGAAGCGGCAACACCACATTGTCGAAAATATTTTAGTTGGCTAGAGAATGTCCGAATATGCCCTCTATTGAATTTTCAAAATGATCCGTTGTCTGGTTTGCCAGAAACGTCTAATTAACGCTCATCGTGAAAAGCCCTGTATAGTAATAGCTCTGAAGAGTGGTACATTATTCACTTGATGTATTTTTCCAGAATATCAATCCCAGTAGTTCAGACCACTGAAGGGAGGGTGAGTATTGAAGATTAGGATTTTTCTAAGGCTCTTGGGAATTACAGAAATTAAGAAAAATAATGTATCTGCCTTATAGGTATGTTTTTCCTCAACTTATTGTTCCTCTGTTAATTAAATCTTTTTACAGGTACATGTACTAATGTGTCTGAAGATGGCTGTATGAGCTCTAACTAGTCACAATACATATTGTGTAATATAAGTTTTGTGGTCCACAGACTTGGTGTATTTCCGTGTATTTCTGTTTTTCTTTGAAAAAATTTGGACCACTTTGAGAAGGATGGATGGTTTTCATGACTTATTTATCTAGGACTTTAAAAAAATTGAGTAATACCTTCTGATGTACGAGTCCCCACATGTTGGCTAACCAAATCCCAATTACCAAAGCCAAATAACTCAACTGCCTCTAATAACTGCAGTTGTTCTTTTCCTGTCCATAAGCCTCTGCCACCAAAAATGCTAACTGCACAGTGGTCTACAAATTTATAGGAATGATCATTTCGATGTGGTCCAATTTCTGCGCCCACAGAAAAACACTGTAAAATTCAGTAAGATTCAAGTTAGGACTACTACTGTTATAAAAGCAAACGATATCGAGAAACAAATCTAATATATTTGAATTGACCGCCAGTACCAATGACGTCAGGTCATGTGACATTACCTGTAAGCAAATATCGAAATCAGGGCAGACGCAGCATTGTATACGGACGCCGTTTATTTCTTCTTGACAATAAGTACAACTAAATTTTGCAAACAAATCTAAAAAATATGAGAAAAAGAACGTAATTCTAATGTTGATTATAAAATTCTACAGACGCATCACCTACCAGCCATGACACCACTTTCAGCAATGTTGTCGTTTCGACGTTTCGTCTTCAGTTCAGTAGCGTCACGTCACCGTTTGCACATTGTTTGCACCTTAGATCATACATCCTGTATGATCTAAGGTTTGCACTCTGCAGCTGCAGTGTTGTTCCTGGGAAGATTCCATTTGTACTAATGTCAGTTGTCAAATTGTACAACTTTGGCGGGAATTGTGCAACTCATTCAAAATAGTTAAAACTTCAAAGGAAATGATATAAAAAACTTTTGGAATAATTTTTTTCTAAACATGATTTTTGCCTAGTTGATGAATAATGACAACCTGTGATAAATATGATACAAAGGAAGGCTATGCAAAAATATACACGACAATATTTTTCCTCCCCATTTGATTGCACGAATCCAACCTTTTTGCTCTCTTTTAGAACGTTTACAAGTCGTTTTATGAGTATGTAACTCTAATTAGAGTCACTGGATGGTAACTCTAACTCTAAAATGAGTATATTCCGAATTCAACTGGTCAGTACTGTCAGTAGTGTCAGTAGATCCACTGACCACTGACGTACCTTGCACTTGATCCACTGACTCTGCTGAAAATCAGCGTTCCGAAATATGAAATTAATACAGTGCTGTGATTCGGAACACGTTTTCATCAGTAATCAGCAGCAGTTGATAGAGTATAGGCGATTAGGCGATGCGCCATATATAGAAATAGTAGATATATGATAAAAAAAACAACATAAACAATAAATATAACCAATAAATGAGATCATCTAATTTGAAATCGCTATTTTCGATTCATAAGAGATTATTTCAAAATGACATTAGGAACTCCAGGTGATACACCCCCAGAGCAAGTACATTCCAAAAGTATAATAGTAATCCATCCTGGATCACTCAATCTTCGTATTGGCAGAGCATCAGATTTGAATCCCTTAACAATCCTACATGCAATAGCAAGACGAAGATTACCATACGGCCAAAGTTATATGGACACCTTTTTACCAGAACGCATAGATCTTAGTCAACCTCAAGAGTATGAAGAAGCTAGATTGTCTGTATCACATACTCTACAGTCTTGTTTGCAATCAGATGGGCGTAGAAGATATGCCACTCCTCCACAGCAAATTGCTGCTTATAATCGTAGATCTCAACCTGAGTTGTTGAATAATAATGGGGGAGAATGGATAAAACCAGAAGGTGATGTAGTAATAGGCAATGATATTTTGCGTTTGGACCCTAGTGAAGACTTCAATGTCCATTTTCCTTACCAGCGAGGAGACTTCAACATTCATAGTGGTCCTGGTGGCTCCATGACTTCAGTAATTGCTGATCTTGAAACCATTTGGACATCTGTATTGGAAACTAATTTTCAAATCAGTCAAAAAGACTTGAAGAGTTATAAAGCAGTATTGGTTATACCAGATGTATATAATAGAACTTATTTGAGAGAGTTGATGTATTTACTTTTGTGTAAAATGGGATTTGGTAGTTGTTTTCTAGTGCAGGATCATGTGGCTGCAACTTTTGGGTCAGGATTAAGTTATGCTTGTGTCATTGATGTTGGAGATCAAAAGACTTCTGTTTCTTGTGTTGAAGATGGCATTTGTCATACAAATACCAGAGTCAGGTAAAATCAATTCTCTAAGAGATACAAATCACAATACATACAATATCCCTTCATTTTTAGGCTAGATTATGGTGGTGGAGATATCACTCAAATATTTTATTGGCTTCTCCAAAAATGTGCATTTCCATATAAGGAATGTAGTGATAACAATAAATTGGACACTATGCTATTGAGAAAGCTCAAAGAAGAGTTCTGCCATGTTAACTTAGATATTTGTGGATCTCAAGAGAAATTTTTTGTTCTCAAACAGCCTGGAAAACCTGTTTATCATTATACAATGCAAGTTGGGGATGAATGTATAGTAGCACCTTTGAGCCTCTTCAGCCCTGAATTGTTTGGCATAACAGGATCAAAGTCATTGCATACTCAGAAAATATCTGCTGGTGATCCTGAAGATCCTCATGACGAATTATATTTGAGAGACATCAGAAAGAAAGGTAATGGTGATTGATTAATGATACCTATTATAAATTAGTTTTATTCATCTGCACCCAAGGATTAACAATCCACTACTCTATGAGATGTTTATAATTCATCCTACTCTACAATGGCTACCTAGATACTTGATTTCTTTATTGCCCAACTGTTTCATCTTTATTTTTGTTTGGGAACAGTTTTGGTGTGGTTTTCTTGAAATTCTGATTTATTGCTCTTTCTTCTAGGGATGACAGGTATCAAAGAGAGTCTAGATACAAGTTCAGCAGATTTATTGAATGATAGTTATTTGGATAATCAGCAAAATAATCCCAATGAAGATGATATAGTTGTGGATGCTATGGATCCAGTGGTTCCTACTTCTGTTAGGGAATTCATAACTAGTCCTGGTCAGATATTAGGGCTAGATCAAGCAGTGTTACAAAGTATTGATAGGTGCCCTAATGAAGAGATCAAAAGAAAAATGTATGGATGTATTTTAGGTATGCAACTATCAATTCAACCTCTTCAAGTTTTCAAAAAAATGATGTGAGGAGAAATGATGAAAAATGATCTCTTAGAGAGCTTCTTTGAATAATCTACATGGCAACATTCCTGGAGAGTTATCATTCTAAAAATTGTTCAGTTAGTCTGAAATATTTATCAATGAAAATGCCAATTGACTGACTCAAATTTTCTTAGTTATCATTTCTCAGTTCTGATAAACATTGTATACAGGGTGTCCTGCAGGTTATTGCAAAATTTTCAGGAGCTGACAGAAGACCTCCATAACAATCAAAAATCGCAATTTTCAGATTTTAAAAAACTGCACAAGTCTACAAAAAAAATGATGCAACCTCACTTATTCAAATACTCATAAAAACTTCTGAAATTTATGACCATTCAAAAGATATCAGTAGGTATATATCACAATAACCCACACAACCAAATCATAATCAAATTGACATATTAGTGTGAACTCTTGGTGTATGTAGAGGGTACTCATGTGAAGTTGGCACCGACTTTTTTGAAAAACTGAATTTTTATCGGAGTTCTGGGTAGATACGATAGAGTTCTGGAGTTCCTGACAAAAAATTTCAATAGTTCTGGTTAGATGTAGAAAATATCTGAAAAAAAAAATCGTGGGTGCTAACTTCACGCGGCGCCGCTTTTTTCACAGAAAAGAGTTCTGATGAGAAATTTTGACGTATTTGAAAGAGTTCTGGAGTTCCTGATATATTTCAACGATAGTTCCAGCGAAATAACAAAGTTATTCCTATTTTTAATAGAGATATTCATACGTTCATGTAGCATCCACCACTTTCTAAAGTTTGGATCGGAGTTCTGGGTAGCACCAGTCGAGTTCCACATACTATCTAGGTAACTTTTTTCTCTAAAATCGAAAGTAGTTTTTATAAGCGGAAAGGAAGGACTGATCGAAAAAAAGTGTTTTGTGAACGATTTGGAAAAGAGAGACAATAGAGGAGTTCTGATCGGCACCAGTCCAGTTCTACATACTATCTTGATAACTGTTTTCTCTAAAATCGAAACTTGAGTTTTCATAAGCAAATCGAGGGACCGATTGAAAAAAAAATGTTTTGTGAAAGATTTGGAAAGGAGAAAAAATAGAGAAGTTCTGATCGGAGTTCTGGGTAGGTTCTGAAGTTTTGATTTTAGAGAAAAAACTTATCTAGGTAGTATGTAGAACTCGACTGGTGCTACCCAGTACTCCGATCAGAACTTCTCTATTGTCTCTCCTTTCCAAATCGTTCACAAAACTCTTTTTTTTTTCAATCGGTCTCTCGTTTCCGCTTATAAAAACTAAAGTTTCGATTTTAGAGAAAAAAGTTATCGAGATAGTATGTAGAACTCGACTGGTGCTACCCAGAACTCCGATCAGAACTCCTCTATTGTCTCTCCTTTCCAAATTTTTCAAAAAACTTTTTTTTCAGTCGGTCCCTTGTTCTCACTCCTGAAAACTTAAGTTTCGATTTTAGAGAAAAAAGTTTCCTAGATAGTATGGTACTCGACTGGTGCTACCCAGAACTCCGATAAGAACTCCTCTAGTGTCTCTCCTTTTCAAATCTTCCACAAAACTTTTTTTTTTTTAGTCGGTCCCTTATTTTTACTCATGAAAACTGAACTTCCGATTTTAGAGAAAAAAGTTACCTAGATAGTATGTGGAAATTGACTGGTGCTACTCAGAACTCCGATCAGAACTCCTCTATTGTCTCTCCTTTCCAAATCATTCACAAAACAATTTTTCTTCAATCAGTTTCTCTTTTGCGCTTATAAAAACTAGTTTTGATTTTACAGAAAAAAATCATCAAGATAGTATAGTATCTAGAACTCGACTGGTGGTACCCAGAACTCCGATCAGAACTTCTCTATTGTCTTTCCTTTCCAAATTGTTCACAAAACACATTTTTTCTTCAATCGGTCCCTCGTTTCCGCTTATAAAAACTAAAGTTTCGATTTTAGAGAAAAAAGTTATCAAGATAGTATGTAGAACTCGACTGGTGCTACCCAGAACTCCGATCAGAACTCCTCTATTGTCTCTCCTTTCCAAATTTTTCAAAAAACTTTTTTTTTCAGTCGGTCCCTTGTTTTCGCTCATGAAAACTTAAGTTTCGATTTTAGAGAAAACAGTTTGCTAGATAGTATGTGGAAATTGACTGGTGCTACTCAGAACTCCGATCAGAACTCCTCTATTGTCTCTCCTTTCCAAAGCATTCACAGAACAATTTTTTTTCAATCAGTTTCTCTTTTGCGCTTATTAAACCTAGTTTTGATTTTACAGAAAAAAATTATCAAGATAGTATAGTATCTAGAACTCGACTGGTGGTACCCAGAACTCCGATCAGAACTTCTCTATTGTCTTTCCTTTCTAAATTGTTCACAAAACACATTTTTTCTTCAATCGGTCCCTCGTTTCCGCTTATAAAAACTAAAGTTTCGATTTTAGAGAAAACAGTTATCAAGATAGTATGTAGAACTCGACTGGTGCTACCCAGAACTCCGATCAGAACTCCTCTATTGTCTCTCCTTTCCAAATTTTTCAAAAAACTTTTTTTTCAGTCGTCCCTTGTTTTCGCTCATGAAAACTTAAGTTTCGATTTTAGAGAAAAAAGTTTCCTAGATAGTATGTGGAAATTGACTGGTGCTACCCAGAACTCCGATCAGAACTCCTCTATTGTCTCTCCTTTCCAAATCATTCACAAAACAATTTTTTTTCGCTCAGTTTCTCTTTTGCGCTTATAAAAACTAAAGTTCTGATTTTACAGAAGAGAATTTATCAAGATAGTATCTAGAACTCGACTGGTGCTACCCAGAACTCCGATCAGAACTCCTCTATTGTCTCTCCTTTCCAAATCATTCACGAAACAATTTTTTTTTCGCTCAGTTTCTCTTTTGCGCTTATAAAAACTAAAGTTTTGATTTTACAGAAAAGAATTTATCAAGATAGTATCTAGAACTCGACTGGTGCTACCCAGAACTCCGATCAGAACTCCTCTATTGTCTCTCCTTTCCAAATCGTTCACAAAACATTTTTTTTTTTCAATCGGTCCCTCGTTTCCGCTTATAAAAACTAAAGTTTCGATTTTAGAGAAAAAAGTTATCAAGATAGTATGTAGAACTCGACTGGTGCTACCCAGAACTCCGATCAGAACTCCTCTATTGTCTCTCCTTTCCAAATTTTTCAAAAAACTTTTTTTTTCAGTCGGTCCCTTGTTTTCGCTCATGAAAACTTAAGTTTCGATTTTAGAGAAAAAAGTTTGCTAGATAGTATGTGGAAATTGACTGGTGCTACTCAGAACTCCGATCAGAACTCCTCTATTGTCTCTCCTTTCCAAATCATTCACAAAACAATTTTTTTTCAATCAGTTTCTCTTTTGCGCTTATAAAAACTAGTTTTGATTTTACAGAAAAAAATTATCAAGATAGTATCTAGAACTCGACTGGTGCTACCCAGAACTCCGATCAGAACTTCTCTAGTCTTTCCTTTCCAAATCGTTCACAAAACATTTTTTTTTTCAATCGGTCCCTCGTTTCTGCTTATAAAAACTAAAGTTTCGATTTTAGAGAAAACAGTTATCAAGATAGTATGTAGAACTCGACTGGTGCTACCCAGAAGTCCGATCAGAACTCCTCTATTGTCTCTCCTTTCCAAATTTTTCAAAAAAATTTTTTTTTTAGTCGGCCCCTTGTTTTCGCTCATGAAAACTTAAGTTTCGATTTTAGAGAAAAAAGTTTCCTAGATAGTATGTGGAACTCGACTGGTGCTACCCTGAACTCCGATAAGAATTCCTCTATTGTCTCTCCTTTTCAAATCTTCCACAAAACTTTTTTTTCAGTCGGTCCGTTGTTTTTGCTTATGAAAACTAAAGTTCCGATTTTAGAGAAAAAAGTTACCTAGATAGTATGTGGAAATTGACTGGTGCTACCCAGAACTCCGATCAGAACTCCTCTATTTTCTCTCCTTTCCAAATCATTCACAAAACAATTTTTTCTCAATCAGTTTCTCTTTTGCGCTTATAAAAACTAAAGTTTTGATTTTTCAGAAAAAATGTATCAAGATAGTATCTAGAACTCTACTGGTGCTACCCAGACCTCCGATCGGAACTCCTCTATTGTCTCTCCATTCCAAATCTTTCACAAAACTCTTTTTTTTCCATTGGTCCCTCTTTTCCGCTTATAAAAACAAAAGTTTTGATTTTAGAGAAAAAATGTAAAAAGATAGTATGTGGAACACGACTGGTGCTACCCAGAACTCCGATCCGAACTTTAGAAAGTGGTGGATGCTACATGAGCGTATGAAATGTTCCTATTAAAAATAGGAATAACTTTGTTATTTCGCGGGAACTATCGTTGAAATATATCAGGAACTCTAGAACTCTTTCAAATACGTCGAAATTTCTCATCAGAACTCTTTTCTGTGAAAAAAGCGGCGCCGCGTGAAGTTAGCACCCACAATTTTGTTTTTCGGTTATTTTCTACAATCAACCAGAACTATTGAAATTTTTTGTCAGGAACTCCAGAACTCTATCATATCTACCCAGAACTCCGATAAGTGTAGAGGGTGACCTATTTTCAATGTCATTTGAATTTTGTGTTTTTTCAAAAAGCACAAAGCATTCATGTTTTGAATATATATATATATATATATATATATATCTCTTCATTTAGTTGAAAAACTAATTCATTCACAATAGTAAATACATTCACATATAAATAAACTTAGATTAACATGAAAAAATACAATCAGTCTGAATAAAAAATACATACGTGTAAATAAAAACTACTAAAAAAATAATAATTATATACTAATTTTTCATTAAATAATCCTTCAATCGTCTTTTGAATGTATTTATCGAACCACTCTCTTTAATTTCTAGTGGGAGGTCATTAAAACAATCTACTCCTTTATAAAATAAGGAATTATGTGTACTATTTTTTTTATATTTTTCAACTTTTATATTGTTTCTGTTTCTTGTATTATACTCATGTATTTCAGCCACATATGATAATTTATTCTGTAGATATACAGGTGAATATGCAATTTTGATTTTAAAAATGAAAATAAGTGTTTGATACTCGAAGAGTTTTCTCACTGGTAGCCATTGTAGGGTTTCAGAAGATAAAGAGTGTGTTCAATTAAAAAAAAAAATCATTTTGGGCTATATCTGAATAATGACCTCATTTCAAAAATTCGCCTATGATTTCACTTAAGAAAATGGTTGAAACAAAAGCTGAGATACAGGGGGGTCCCAAAATGCAATATTTTCAATTTTGCAATGTATCTCCAAAACAAAGCGGGCTATGAAAATTTTGTTCCTGGTATTGTGAGTTTCTCAAAAAAATAGCCAAAGTTTCCAAGAACCTCAAATTTCTATCTTTAAAAATAAGTGAGACATCCAGCAAGAACCAAAAATGTTGAGATAACACTCAACAAATTGAACAGAGGATGATATACACTGTGTGCAAGATAAGGATATTTATTATTGGGATCTATTATTGGGCGTTTTTATTTCTTCTGACGTTATTTAAAGAGATATAGAAAAACAAAAGATGTTTCATTCATTTCCACTTTTTGATTTTCCTTATGACGTTAACCATTATCAACTTTACCCAGGGGCGGATTAAATGTCGACAGCGCCCTAGGCAAGCATCTCATCGGCGCTCCTCTGGTGGTCATAAGATATTATAAATCATAACTACTAATATACGTGTTCAGGGTGAAGAAAGTAAGAGGGGTAGTTATTGTGAATATCAGGAATTTCACGGGCCGCACCAACGTTTCCCGTTCCTCCAACGCACATTTTCGACGACGACGCGCCCTTTTGTAATCTCGCGCCTCTAGGCACGTGCCTAGTTTGCCTTATGGATAATACAGCACTGACTTTACCTCATGATAGATTGTAGATTATAGATTGTAGATGGGTCGTATAGGCTGGGAGACCTCTCGATCACTGCGACCTAGAAGATCTATTGTGATAACCCCTATCTAGTTTTGGTCCTCTAACCCTAGACTTCTGATGAAGCCTGAGATTTTCCTGACGGTTGAATTTTCCACTTCAGCAGGGGTGAGATAGACCTGTTCTAGGTGGTTCAGCCTTTGGCGGACTAATACTTCACATGAGCAAAGTATGTGTTCCGCGGTTTCGGTCGCATTGTTACAAAAGCGGCAAGTGTCAGTCTCCGCCAGGCCCATCTTTTTGAGGTGGTACCTCAGAGGGCCGTGTCCCGTGAGAAAGCCTGTGATAAGCTTTAGCTCTGGTTTGCTGAGGCTGAGTAGGTCTTTGGCTCGGTTCTGCGAATGGTTGATGAACCTTTTTGCTTGTGGTTGACCTGGAGTTACTCTCCAGTAGGAGGACTTTCCAATTTCTTCCCATTTCCTGAGTTCTCCCTTTAGGTGATATTTGCTTATCCCACAAAAAGGCTCAGGACCAAAAAGTGCAGATGCTGCACCTTTTTTTTGGAAGGCGATCAGCTGCCTCATTTCCTTTGATTCCTTCATGCCCTGGAACCCACATAAGTGTGACTTTGTTGTCCTTTCCCATTTGCATGAGTGTTTCAAAGCAGTCCCATGTAATCTTTGATGAGAAAACGAATGATTTTAGGGCTTTTAGTGCGGCTTGGCTGTCTGAGCAGATATATATGTTGGCACCCCTCAGACCTTTGCTCAGGCACCTTCACCTTTGGGCGCAAAGGTTGATGGCATGTATTTCAGCTTGGAAGATAGTGGGGGAGTGACCTAAGGCTTCAAATAGCCTACATCCGGGTCCATATACACCCGCGCCTACCCCTTCTTCCATTTTGGAACCATCGGTGTACCAAACAAGGGACCCTCTGTCCAGCTGAGGCTCAGCGGAACCGTACCTAGGGATGCTTTTTATAACCACTTCAAAGCTATGATCGAAACTGAGCCTGGCTGGCATTATGTCCGATGGTTTGGTTGCAGATTCCATTTGTACTTCTTGTAGAATGACCATGTGACCATCAGTGACATCACCTGGTCTGGCCAATTCAGTGGAGTTCAGTCTGTATGCACTGAGAGCTGCAGTCCATGATAGATTGATAAAAAATCCAAATCTTGGACACATGTGTATATCAGAGTAACATTCAAAAGTTATTAAACAAATAACATCTTTTGTCATATTGTGTTATCCAGATTGTTTCTGAAAACCTCAAGATGGAGAATATCTCTAAATCCGCAAGACTTCAGACTGAGGTGAGTGTGGCTAGACCTGTTTTATACACCATCGCCTGTCGACTCCTAAAAGATATTGTATTAATCTACAGGACACTATACAGGTTGTCCGTTTTTCGAACTCTACCATGGGGATCTCAGTTTATATATTATATTATACAAGATACGAGGACGTTCTTGATGCCAAAGTTACAAAACAACTTTGTTTTTTCTTATGGGCGCAATATTGGATTTTTTGCATTTTTGAAAAGTCTTTTTTTTATAACAATGATGTATCACACGATATGATCTTAATATGATAGAATCTTTCCTGTTGATCAAAATTGGGAAAAACCATTTCTGCGAAGAGTGCTTTGGAAAGAACGGCAACAGTTTTGTTCAAGCAGAATTTCGACATTTTATTTGAATTTGGATCTGAAACTTTCACATTTTCGTCAAGCTCATCTACTTAAAAACTATGGTTTTGAATTATGAACGACGTAATGAGCTAGCAGTTTATTCTCCGCAAAACAAAACAAAATAAAGTTATAAAAGATGCTCGAATACCCCACCTTCCACTTCTAAACACGATTCTACGCGTTTCCTCAGATTCAGAATTGCTCGCGAGATGTCCCGTCTTCTTATCTCAGTCCTGAAAGTGGTGATTATGATTCTTCATCGATCGGTACAGTTTTGAAAATCAAATCTTGCATAGTTCCCAATAAATAATGATCCAGCGGAGAGAGATCAGGTGACCGCGCAGGCCAACGTATGTCTCCATTGTTGGAAATTACCGTGTCAGGGAACATATCTGACAGACACTCGGCAACCCTTCTTGCGTTATGTGGATAAGCTCAATAATTCAACAGTTCTGCGAAATTCAGTTTGTTAAACAAAACTGTTGGCGTTTCTTCCAAAGCACTCTTGGCAAAAGTGGTTTTTCCCAATTTTGATTAACAGGAAAGATTCGATCAGAAAAAAAAGACTTTTCAAAAATGCAAAAATCCAATATGGCGCCCATAAGAAAAAATAAAGTTGAGTGTTGTAACTTTGGCTTCAAGAACGTCATGGAGAATACGATGACAGATTCAGATTCCTTGTGAAAAAGTGCCTCAAGAATGTCCTAGTCAGAAACGTGAAAGTTTTTTTGTTTTCGTTTGAAAAAATAAAAACGAAAATTACGAATTTTCTTGCAGATAAATGTTCAGAATGAATATGCGCAACTTTCCCCTAATTTAACCGACCTGGTATCTATTATAATAACTGAGATCCACATGGTGAAGCACGAAAAACGGGCACCCTGTATAAATTAAAATCAGAGTATAAAAAAAAACGGTAAGTAAATCTACAAAACGTATCATTGATATTTTGCAGTTGTTGGTGGTGGGATGAAATTTTCTGGTATAGTGACGTGGCTCCAAAACAGGATATCACTCCAGATTCCCTACTTGTACAGAGCCGAACAACTCGACATCGTCATCAATCCCAGAGATATGGACTCGGCTATGGTAGCGTGGAAAGGAGCCTGCATTCTGTCCTGCCTGGAATCTGCACATGAACTGTGGATCCAGGCTGGTGAATGGGAGAAATATGGCGTGAGAATTTTGAGAGAACGAGCCCCGTTTACATGGTGAATGAAGAAATTTCACTGTAGCCAAATGGATAACTCTCTGTGTAACAATATACCAGTACCATCTATAGAGGACATTTTTCCAAGCCGAGCTGTATTGGTCCAAGATATGCTTCAGCATTGATGGAAATAAGCAAGCTAGACAAGAATTGTCTTCTGATTGATTCATTTACCATGCTAACTATAACCATGTTTTCGCCATTTTCTTCACAATAATTTTATATTTTATTGTTGACAATAGTGAAAAATTAAACAGGAATAAGTTTCAACTTTATTATATCAGTATACAGAGGGTGGTCCGTTTTTTAATACGGTAAATTTAACAGAGTAAAGTACTCGTTGAAATAATGAAAAAACTTCCTATAAACATATAGTTTTAAACGCTTCGTTTTTGAGATATTGGGTGTCAAAAATACGCTTCTGGATATATTTTTTTAATCAAAAGTTAGAAACGGTAGATAAATTAACGAAATTTTTCACAGATACCAAACTTTTTGAGCTTTATTAGATTAAATAAAAATTATGCATAAAAACTATTCAGTGGCGGCTGAATCTGGGGTGGCGAAGGTAATAATTACACAAATTTTTCGGGTAATTATTTTTCATTTATTCCTTAACTTTCAATTAAAAAAGCTCGCTAGTAAGATTTTATAAAAATTTTTATTTAAATAATACTAAACTTGATATCACTTAAAGAAGTAGGCTATGCTCAGTTGCTCACTGTTCACTGTATGTATGTGCTGTCACTCTGAAAGTTATGTCAAAGAAATAACAAACTGGAGTTATTCCGTGTTTATATCAAAAAGTGTAATAATTTTATACCAATTTTGCCTATGGGATTTAGTAGTATATTCATTTCGTTTACGGATTTTGTAATGGAAACGCAGAGGCAGCAGTTCAGGAATACAGAAATCGCTTCCCTAGGAGAAGGGTACCTAATACAGAGTCTTAATCAATACTCACTCACGTTTCCGTCAGTTTGGGTTACGTGGCAATAATGAACAATACCGAAATAATGGCCCACTGAGAAGAAATGATAACAATCACATTCTTAAATTTTTTGATGTTGAAAATTTTTTTGTTCTAGAAAAGCAGCTCAACAGTTGCAGTTAATTTATAAACTAATATCATGTCATGCTTTAAGTAATTTTGGTTCTCTTTTTTCGTTTAATACTATAGTTATCAGTTTATACTATTGCACGCATAAATAAAAGTGATAGTTCCGACTTTTTTTTCAGGTTTCAAAATCGAAAATTTTACGAACACTACATTATTTAGATCACAGGAAGCCTTTTCATTTGATGCCGGTACAACATTTACATCCTGAAGATCCCGAGAAGAGAGTGTCTTCCGGAATTTATCTTAAGTAAAGTTGACAACAATAACGACTTTTTACATAAAGTCTTATGGACTTGGAACACCCTATATATCGAAAACTAAGCGTTTGAAAGTATATGTTCATAGGAAGTTTATTTATTATTTCAACGAGTACTATACGCTGTTAAATTTTCCGTATTAAAAAACGGACCACCCTGTATGTGAATGAAATAATATCAATGAAATATTCAATGCCCCGTATATGGGGATTATTTGAGTTTTGTCATAAGTTGTCAATAAATATTTTTTGGTAACACGTCAACTTTTGATTTGGAACCGAAAGGTTTAAAAAATACTGTTAGATTCCATCTAGAGGTGTCATCATTTGGAATTTAACAACTGGTCCTTCGAGCCGGACTTTACCAAACGACGGAAGCAGGAATCATTGGAAACTTGCAAGGATTTCAAAAGTATTTCCAGGTCGTGATGGTCATATTCGATCAGTTGAGCTTTCCACATCTTCTGGAACTCTTGTTCGTCCAGTAAACGGATTATTACGCCTGGAGGTTGGAGAGTGTGAATGAAATAATATCAATGAAATATTCAATGCCCCGTATATGGGGATTATTTGAGTTTTGTCATAAGTTGTCAATAAATATTTTTTGGTAACACGTCAACTTTTGATTTGGAACCGAAAGGTTTAAAAAATACTGTTAGATTCCATCTAGAGGTGTCATCATTTGGAATCTAACAACTGGTCCTTTGAGAAGAGAGCAGAAATGGAGCGCGGTATTCGAAAAAGTGACCGAGTGAACCGTGGAATACCACCAAAGAGATATGGAGAAAGCAGTCTAGATGGTCATCAACAGCGACGAACAGGAATAAAGGCGATGACTACTGGACGAAATTCGAACGAGGATTCCTCCAGAGAAACGATAAAAGAGATACAGAATTCTGAAAAACTATTCGAAACCAGGAATGAAAGTTCCTCAAAACGTCAGAGTCATGTATCAGCATCTCACAAAAGCAGATCTTCGAGAAAATATGAAGATTTAGAAGCAAGAGAAAGAGAACTCAAAGAACAATTGATTGATTTGCAAATAAAAAAGCTCAGTATAGAAAAAGAATCTCTGAGACAATCAGTCAAAAACAAAAGTATCAACTCAGAGAAGTCGAGCTATTTTAGTGGAGAATATAGTATGGATAAACACTCTTTCATAAGAAATTGGGTGTCCAATGTTGAAGAAAACAGGGAGTCTTATGAAATTCAGGAAAAACCAGAATATAAAAATGAAGATTTCAATGAAAAAGAAGACGGAAATGAAAATGGACATAAGAAAAGAATGTCGTCCTTGGAATCTATCAAAGAAGCAGAAAGTGCCGAGAAAGAAAATGTTACTCTTGTTGATTGCATGAAACAATTGAATTCAAATTTAGCAAAGTTGGCGAATCGACAGTCAGGTAACCAACTTCAAAGTTTCAATGGTGATGTTAATGAATTTCCGTTCTGGTTGGAAGAATTTCGCCGTACTACGGCTGAAAAGAGACTATCAAATTCAGAAAATATGAGTCGCCTTCAATATTGTCTCAAAGGACGAGCACGAGATATTGTGAGAGATCTTTTTTGCAGTCCTGAAAACGTCGACTCTATAATTGATACATTAACTTGGAATTTCGGTAGAAGTGATTGGATCATCATCAATCAAATTGAAAAATCCAGACGTTGTGCCAATCCTCGGGAGGATTCGTTAGATACATTCTTACAGTTCTCCATAACTGTTTCCAATATGGTAATTTCCATGGTAAATACTGGAAATAGTAAATATCTGGAGAATCCTGAATTACTCATGAAACTTGAAGAAAAATTACCGAGGAATTCAAGAAGAGCATGGGCCCTGCGAAAAATGGACTCAGAGTTATCAAAATATGGAGTAAACCTGAAACACTTCTCAGATTGGCTGAAGTCGGAAGTAAATCTGTTAATGTCTGTATCCACTTCATCCCAAATACAATCATACCAGAGTAAACAAATTTCTGGAAGGACTGAAAGAGTTATGAATATAGTTTATAAAAAGTCAGAAGTATGTATCTTATGCAATTTAGAAGAACATAAACTATTCAACTGTAAAATGTTCCTTGAGAAGTCGGTCAGCGAAAGAGTAAAATATGTTCAAGAGAAAAATCTTTGCTTCAAATGTTTAAATCCTGGTCACATCGTGAAGAAATGTTTTTCTAAAACGTTTTGTAACATTGACAAATGCAGAAGGAAACATAATCGTCTTTTACACGAGAAACGAGAACTTACAGAAAGAAACTCTGTAGATGACAATAATTTGGAGGAGCTAGCAAATGAAAAAGAAAATTCTGAATTCGTTGGTCACGTGGGCGATAGATCATCAGCTATCCTGAAAATCATTAAGGTGAAAATATTCGCAGATACAGAGTCTTTTGAAACCTATGCTTTATTGGACGAGGGGTCTACAGTCACTTTGATTGATGGAGATGTGGCAAGAAAACTGAAGTTGCAGGGTCCAGTTGTTCCTGTCTGTTTACAATGGACTAATCAAATTTCCCACAACGATGAGAATTCGATGATGGTCAATTTCGAGATTTCTGGGCATGAAGAAAAAACCAAGTATAAAATAAATAGAGCGAGAGTAATCAAAAATTTATCATTACCTAAACAAAACATTGACTCTGACCACCTATGTGATAGATATCAATACTTAGATAGAAATATTTTGAAATCAGTAGAGCATGTTGTGCCAAAAATTCTAATTGGTCAGGACAATGTGCATGTCATGACTACACGAGAAATAATTCATCCTCAATATGACCAACCTGCTTTCAGCAAAACAAATCTAGGATGGGTCGTCCATGGCCCTTATATCGCTAGTGAAATTAGACTGAATGTTAATCTGTGCCATCATGATGAGGATTATCTTACAAAAATGATCGAGGATAATTTTAGAATCGAAAATACGGACCCTCTTAACAGCCCTATGATGTCCAGAGAAGACAAAAAAGCCGTTCACATTTTCGAGAAAACTATTCACAGAGTTGGGAAAACTGGTGAGAGATTCGAGATAGGATTGCCATGGAAAGAAGAAGATGTTATTTTGCCAGAAAGTAGATCATGTGCCTTCAAGAGATTAATGTGTATGGAGAAGAAAATGGACCAGGATGCAAGGTTTGCAGAACAATATTGTGAGAAAATTCAGGAATATGTAGATAAGGGATTTGCTAGGAAGTTATCCGTCAAAGAGATACAAGAAGATAATGGAAAAATTTGGTATCTTCCTCATTTTGGGGTAAGGAATATGAACAAACCTGGGAAACTTCGCTTTGTATTCGATGCTGCCGCGAAAAGCCATGGTATGAGTCTAAACGACTATTTACTCAAAGGTCCTGACTTTTATCCATCCCTGTTGGCTATACTCTTGAGATTCAGAGAAAAGAAATACGCATTCTGTGGTGATATCAAAGAGATGTTTCACCAGGTTGTTATCCGAAAAGAAGATAGGAGTTGCCAAAGGTTTTTATTTCGAGGAATGGAGAGAGTTCAAGATCCCGAAGTGTACCAGATGGAAGTAAGGATTTTTGGAGCGGTATGTTCGCCCTCTATAGCACAATTCGTCAAAAACCACAATGCCAATCAGTTCAAAGAAGAATTTCCGCACATAATGGACATCATGTTGAAACAGCACTGGGTCGACGATTATTTGGACTGCAGAGATACCATACCAGAAGCAGTAAAAACAATCGAAGATGTAATCGAAGTTCATAAAAGAGGTGGTTTTCAAATGGTCAATTGGTTGTCTAACTCAGCCGAAATTTTAAAAATGATTCCATCTAACTATTTGGCCAAAACCTGCATCTTAAATTTTGACTCAAATAATCATGAACGAGTACTTGGACTGGTT